GGCTGATCCCGATGGCTGCGGGGTCACTGCTCGGGTGCCCTGGGAGTGCGAGTTCCCCCCCCGGCTCCGGGCCCTGGCCCTGGCCCCTTTCCCATGTGATGTGTGTCTCTAAGTTATTTTTAATCTGCTGGCCTGAGCACAGAGCTTTCTGCCTTAAAGGTGCAGTTGTGCAGGGGCTGTGGGGAGCTGTGTCCAGCCTGGGCCACCTGCCCTCGAGCCCTGTGGTTTTTGGAGAGGAATTAGCCTAGCAGCTCCTGCTTTGGGGGGTTATTGGTTTTATTGCTTTGCACTTGTCATCTCCTGCTGTGGCCTTAGGTCCTGGGTTGGGGGGGGGACACCAAAGAACCAGCGGCTGCCGCGAGAACGGGCGTCTTGGGCTCCCCCCCACCGATGCTATGAAAGGGGAAGGTCCCGCTGGGACTGAGGGACCGTGGGTCCTGCGTGACCGAGGCACGAGTGTGGGACGCGGGCGCTGCCCTCAGTGCTGTTTCCTTTCCCCCCTGGCAGACTCAGTGTTGCGTCCCGTTGAATAAAGTCGGATGAATGAAAAAGGTGAAGCGTGGTGTGACTGTGCTTCGGGCGGCTGCCTCTGGGAGGGTGAGTAAGGGTTTGGGGCCAAGGGAGAGGGGCGCTGCTGCCCTGGGGGTGGCGGGATGAGCCCGGGCACCCTCTGAGCTCCAGTTGTGCTGCTGGTGCCACTCGCCCATGGAAGCACAACCTTCCCTGCTGCAGTGTCCTGTCCCTGCGAGCCCAGCTTCAGCCCAGGGGCTGTCACAGGGCAATCACACCACAGGCTCTGGGGGGCTCAAAGCAGAGCTCGGCCCCACAGCCAGCCTCTCTGTCCCAGCTCTGCTGCAGATAAACCCAGCGGAGGCCGTGGAGCCGCTCACGGCTGCATAATAGGTGGAAATGAGCCGCAGATAAAGGCACACAATGCTGCTGGGGCTGTTGTTTAGTTCCTCCAGCCAAGCCAGCCCAGGGCAGAGCCTGCTCCCTGCTAAAAGGGCCTCTTCGGCAAGGGTGAGACGGGCTAAAAATACCCTGGAGAAAATGAAATGTGGATGATAAGGGGTGATATCGCTGCCACTGGAGGAAACAGAGAGGGAGGCATCCAGCTGTGGTGCCCTTGGTGCAGAGCCTGGGCTGGCAGCCAAGCCTGCCCTTGGCTCCCCTCCCTGCTGGGGATGAGGGGGTAAAATCCCCTGGGGTGGGGATCTGGGGTGCACCCTACTCGCTCCCAGTCCTTCCCTGCACCCTCTGTGAGGATGCTGGGGCAGATCACCCCTGGAGGAACCCTGCCCTGCTCCCACCACCTCTGGAGGGACCCTGCCCTGTTTCCACCACTGCCCAGTTGGGAGCCCTGGGGCATCCCAGTGCAATGGGGGACCACAGCCCGGTGCTCACCAGGCATCAACAAAAGCCGCGAAGCCCCCGCAACGCTGCAGCTTTCTGGGGAGAGCAGCCCGGCACGCTTGGCCGGGAGGAAACGCTCGTGTGAAAGGTAACGGTGCAGCCGTCCTGCGTGTTTACCCGCTGGCAGCGCTGCCCCGCTTGCCTCCCCTCCC